CGACGACGACGACGACGACGACGACGACGACGACGACGACGACGACGACGACGACGACGACGACGACGACGACGACGACGACGACGACGACGACGACGACGACGACGACGACGACGACGACGACGACGACGACGACGACGACGACGACGGCGACGACGACGACGACGACGACGACTACTACTACTACTACTACTACTACTACTACTCCTCTCACTCCTACTACTGCCACTTCTTCTTCTTCTACGACCACTACTGCTACTTCTGCTACTACTACTACTACTACTACTACTACTACTACTACTACTACTACTACTACTACTACTACTACTACTACTACTACTACTACTACTACTACTACTACTACTACTACTACTACTACTACTACTACTACTACTACTACTACTACTACTACTACCACTACTGATTCTACTACGACGGCTACTGCAATTGCTATGAAAAACACGACTGTCGGCATGCTTCGCTGGAGTTGCTGTTTGGGGATGGACTGGTGGGGATACGCGAAGCGTGAAGAATTCCCTGTGGGAAACGTATGATGTTTGCGCATTCGCCTCTTGGGCGTTCACCACAACCACGATGGTCCGAGAGGCGTCCAAGATCGCCCCAAAACGGCCCACGCGGCACCCAAGAGGGCTCCAAGACGGCCCAATAGGGCCCCAAGACGGCCCAAAAAATCCCTAAGACGCCCCAGAAAGGGCTCCAAAACGGTGTTTAGATGGGGCCCAAAAGGGGAACCCGAACGGACATTTCGAGCCTTCGGTTTTAAGGCACCCCCAGGTTGCCCAAAGAAACCCACAGACAACCCAGAGGGGGCTCCAAAAAAACCCACGAGGCCTCCATGAGGCAAGAGGTAGAACAACTGATTCCAGGGCGCCCCCGAGGGGCCTCCCACTAGACCCATCAACCATCCGATTTGCCTCAGACCCACAACCCAGGCACGGTGGCGGGGCGCCAAGAATGAGGAATGACGCGGATCCAGAACAGTGGCCCACGCTCGGAAGAGAGCGCGGCAAGAACGAACGACACTGGTGCAGACCAGCGTAACGGCCCAGCTCAGACCAGATGGATCACCCTGTAGCCTCTGCCTTGTCGCGTGTCTGGACACATGCAATGCAACCCGCATCCGCCTACCCATTCGGGGTCTCCAGACGTGTAAGATTCGCCCCCTGAACGGCCCAAAATGCCCCCAGAACAGCTCGAGGGTGGCCCCGAAGAGCCCGAAGCCCGCCCCCCCAAAGAAACAAGACGACATAAGTACGCCCCTGGACAACAATAGGAGGCCCCCAAGTCGGTAAAAGGGTCGAAAGATGTGGCGCAAGCCAATAGAATCTCAACCGCTATGTATTTGCCTCTTATCTTCCGTTTCAATGCTTCTGATCGTTCTTAAAAACTACTGAGCCTGCCGAGGCCTTCGCGCGGCTTCCAGCCGCACGTGCAAATATGTTGTGCCGCTGGCTGTTAGCCGAAACACACATGGTGCAACGGTTGAAACATAACTCTGCGGCGGCGAGGTAATGACTACTGGAATATGGGGGGCAGAGGAGATACATGACTATTAGCAAGTCTTACGCATTACGCGCGAATGTCGCAATCGACCCCAATTTCCTATACGTTGCTCAATTCGCGGCACCTGCTCAGATCGAGGATCGAGGATCGAGTCGAGGGTGGAGGTTTGTGGGGGTTCTGGTTCGTTTGTTGAACTCAGAGCGTCTCTGGAGGCCTGGGGTCATCAAAAAGCCGAACGGCGTGAGGCAATGTTGATATCTTCAAGTGCTGTCGTTCCCTTCGATTCCAGCATCTGGGAACCGTTGTCGGACACTGGGACCATTAGAAGATGACCCGGGATGAAAACACGCCCACTAAGCTGGAGCAAAGAACTCTCAAACCAACCCGTGTGATGCAGACGCAACCGATGAAAACTAACTATGCCAGACGTCTTGGAACACAGAAGTACCGATACCGCTAAGCCCCAGACCACTCCCTGTGCGTGTTGACCAGAATTTCAAAGCGAATCCAGCGGTGACGGCGAGGGCCTCCCAGGAGGCCGAAAAAGGCGAACATGAAGTAAGGGCAGCGGTTTCGGTGCCTCCTCTGAAGATTCTAATGCAAAGGAGATACCAAGGTCGATGAACAGTCTACCATTTCAAGAGCTGCCACCTGAACTGTTACAGCTGCCCTTCCCAGGTAAGGTGGGAAGGCTTCGAGCTGCGCACAGACCGCCCCCGGAGGTAGCTCCAGCTATCCTGAACACGCCCCCTGAGTGGTCCCAGCTGGCCTCAAGAGGCATCCCCCCCTAGAGTGGGGCGGTCTCGACACCCCAACTTTAGGGAGCGGAGCACCCCAGGGGCGCCGCCGGAGGCGGCGCCAGGGAGTTGAGACCGCCCCAGTCTCATCTGGCGCCGCCTTCGACGGAGACCTGGGGCGCTCCGCGCCCCAGCGTTGAGGTGTAGAGACCGCCCCAGTTTAGTCGGGGGGCGCCTGCTGGGCCAGCTGGGACTGCTCGGGGGGATCTGTTGAGGCGAGCTGCTACGATCTGGGGAAGGCGGTCTGTGCACAACCCGAAACCTTAACCAGGCGCAGTGGGTCGTCTTTCTGGAGGAGGCCCTGCCGCTCGGTGGCAGCGGGCGGATCTCCGGCGTCGCGCGGGCTGCGCGCCTTTGCGCGCATCTCGCCATGCACCAGAGGAGCTTCGCAGCTCGTCCGTCTACTCCGAAGCTCGCCGCGGAGGGACCCACGCTACGATCGAAACGTTTGCCACAGGATCGCAGGTCTTGGAGGTGGGCTGAGGTTTCTGCTCTGGATGGGCACCAGCAAATACACTGAGGAGGGGAGCAGGGGCCGAATTTGACATCAAATGTCCATCTGGGCGACGATCAAAAACAGGTCTCACGCGGACCGCCGGCGCGGCTCGCCACATTGGAGCCGAGGGCGCATACGCTCGACTCTCGACCTTACGCGGGCAGCTTACGCGCGATGTCGGCACAAGCGACCCCCTGGAGAAGGCGGCCCAGCAGGGACGGGGACAGAAAACTTGCGCACAAAGGTGCCGCTCCCCCGTTCCTACTGGCTGGAACCAATGAGGCCCAACCTCAGCCCCCCAGCTGGCTCCTCTACGTGGGCCAAGCAAGACCAGACGCCCCTCCGCCGAAGGCCCACAGAACACGAGCACGGTGGAGGCCAGTCCACAAGAAGCCTTCCACAAGAAACCCAACCCTGCGACCCAGGACGCCCCTTGACTTCTGGCGTGGGAGCGTCGCGCTCGCTCTCCGCAGCAAGACCCCGAGCCTCCACTGCACTCCAGGGCAGCACGGGAAGAACGACACGACCAAACCCACGGAGGCGCGCTTCCCCCCCCTCCCTGCCGGCTGGAGCCGGCGAGGCCCAACCTCGGCCCACCCGGCTGGCTTCCGCGGGGGCCCCTCCTCCTCCTCCTCCTCCTCCTTCCCCCTCCCTCTTGTGCGAGAACCGTGGCACGCGTGCCAATTGTCCGGCGGCGAATTCATGGCAGTCTGGATCCAGGGGGGGAGAGGCCCCTGGGGGTCCCCGGACGAGAAGTCCCCCCAGGCTGCCCCCGGGCGGTGCGGATCAGAGGCAGGCTTCCTTCTGGGCGCAGCCTTCCGGCGCCCTGGAGCGCTCCAAGCGGATCCCAAGAGGGGCGCCCAAGGCGGTCCAAGAGGTCTCCGAGTCGTCCGATCCGTCCGACACGCCCAAGATGGCTTCCAGACGGCCCACGAGGCCTCCAAGACGCCCCAAGAGGCCTCCAAGAGGCAGAAATCATTTGTTTGTTCCGTGTGTTTCTGATGAATCTTGGCGTTCTCGCCTTTTCAGCTTCCCGGCGCTCCAAGACGGCCCCAGAGGCCCACAGGACCGCCCCAAGCCAGCCCAAGAAGTTTCCAAGAGAGCCCCAGAACGGCCCAAGAGGGCCCCAAGACTGCCCAATTGATCTCCAAGACGGCCCACGACGGCACCAAGAGAGGGCCCAGACGGAGGACCCGCCTGACCATTTCGAGCTCTTCGCCAGAAGAGGCCCCCGCGGGGCCCAAAGAGGCCCCCAAGAGGCATCAAAGAGGCCCCAGGAGGTTCCAAAAAGCCTCCCAGGCGCGCAAGATGGGCCGGCGAAATGAGCGAGGCGATTCAATAAGATCGGATTGAAGCGTGACGCATCGGCACGAAGTCGGAATCGAATCGGCCGCGCCAGGAGGCGCAAACAACGCCATGCGAATATCGGGCTGCATAGGACTATCATAATCTGATCGAATCGGGCTGGCAACAATCGATATTGCATCGGATCAAAATGAACATATTTCGGATGCTTTGGGGGAAGGCTTCGTGCGGTTTCAAGCAAGTTTCGGGAGAAGCCCAAGGAAGGAGGGGGAGGGAGGGAGGAGGGAGGCTCGATTTCGGCTACATCAACCCAGACCCCCGCCATGGGCCATGGGCCATGGTGATTTTCTCTCATCGCGACCCCCCAGAGGTCTGGACCCCTTCCTGGGGATTGGATTTTCACACCGAGTCGCTTTTGGACGGTCCCAGGGGCCCACTGAGGGCCCCTGGGGACCAGAAACGTCACACAAACTTCCGGAGCGGTTTTTGTCACGACGCAAACGGGTCTGGGTTTCAGAGGTAATCAGACTTGAGCAGGGACCGACCGTCCCGGCAGTTCTGTAGGCTTACCACGACATGCAGCAAGGCATGCTTTGAGAAGGTCTCCTGAAACCCCCCACGAGGATCGCAGGTCAGCATGCTGCGCCACTGCTTGACAGAGGAGTTGGGGCTTGCCACGGGTGCCCCTGGCCCGAGGTGCCCCCCTCTGCTCGCCCCCCCTCTCGGGGCCCCTGGGGCCCCTGGCTGGAGAGCGCTCCGGAGAGGCCGCGGGTGCCCCCTCTGCAGCTCCCAGGCGGCACCCAAAGGCCAGGGGCACTCCTGGCAGCAGCCGCACGAGCTCGCTCGCATCCCGCGGGCCTCCTCGGAGCACGCACGCCTCACGTCGCCCCGGCCCGCGAGTGCGCCGCCACGATCCCGCGCGCCTGCTCCAGGGACGGCCTCGCGCCGCCGCCGCCGCCCCCGCCGCCGCCGCCGTCGTCGCCGCCGCCGTCGTCGTCGTCGTCGCCGCCGTCGTCGTCGTCGTCGTCGCCGCCGCCGTCGTCGTCGCCGCCGCCGTCGCCGTCGGCGGTGTCGGCGGCCTTCGGGCCCGAGCAGGCTTCCCCAGGCGGCCTGGAAGAAGGCGACCCCCCACGGCCCCAGATGGCTCTCGAAGGGGGCGCGGCGAATGCTGGAGCGCACCCGCAGGCCGGCCTGCAGGCCTCCGAGAACCTCCGCCGTCGCTCCTGAGACGAAGCCAGGACGAGGGTGACATCGGGTGAGGATGAGTCGAGAATCTCAGAGATCCGGCGGCTCTGCATGGAGGATGTCCTGGGCGCCGCGGACTTCTCAGACCGTTCCAGAGGGCTCAGAGAGCGCTCCAGAACGCTCTGGAACGGATTTGTCCTAGTCCAAGCCCCGCCCGAGCCCCAGGGACCGCCGCGCCTGTCCAGAGATCGCTGCAGTCAGCTCTGAGCTCGAGGGGGAGGATCGAGGCTGGAGGATGGAGGCTGGAGGACGGGTCGAGGCTGCATCAGCGAGGCTGGAGGCTCGTCGTCGTCGTCGTCGTCGTCGACGTCGTCGTCGCGGCCCCCGCCGCCGCCGCAACCGCTGCCGCCACCGCCATCGCCAGCGCCGGCCTCACGGCGCTCCCCGTACGCTGCCGTCCTCGCCGCCACCCTCGCCGCCCTCGCCGCCGCAGCCTCCGCCGTGAGCGCCGCTGCCGGCTCCGCCGCCGTCGGCTGCCGCCAGGGGCCTCCGACATCGCCGCCGACCCTCACATACGAAAGTCATGGCAGGAGCCCTGGACCCCAACTTCTCGGGCGGTTTCTGGAGCCGACCCGCTCCGTGCGGGTCCCGGGGCCCGAAGTCAGGGGAAACCGCGTGGTATGAACATACTGCAACGCCGGGATCGAAGGAGCCGCCAACGCCGCCGCCAAATGGGGGGACTAAGAGGCACCGATACCGCTGCTCCACAGACCTACACCTTTCCACGGGTGCGTTCGGCCAAAGACTTCGAGGAGAAACCCGCCGCGGAGGCGAGGACTCTCCGGGACGAGCTGCGGTACTGGTATAGCTTTCCTCTGACCGCGAGGGCCAACGATAGGTATGGGAGGACTGGCTCAATGGGGGAAAGGGGGATACATCGACCTCGAATCGGCGATACATCGCCGATAGGTCGGCTAGGCCCCCGCTTGCGAATCCACGTTGCTGGGCGGGGTGGGGTTCTCAGACCCTTATCGGCGATCCATGGGCGATGGGGGGTCGATGCGTTCCCCCGAAACCATCCTCCCCTATCGTTGTCCCTGGGACCAACGCCGCCGCCCACGCCGCCGCCGCTGCCGGCGCAGCCAACGGCCTCGCGACGCCGCCCTCTGACTCGGCCTCGGAGATGGCCTCCCTCAATGCGACGAGCCGCGCCGTGCGCTCTGCGTCGCTGGCCCGGGCGGACGCGACCACGCCGGCGCCGAGCCGCGACAGCCGCTCCTGGGGCGAGCGGGGGTCGTTTAATACATATACGTAAATACATGTATATATACATGTGTCAGCCATCGTGGGCACACAATGCTCTTTCTAGTAGTACATGCTGTACCGTACATATGTATATATATATGTACGTGGTACAACTTATGTGGTGCAACATATGTTGTGCAATATATGTGGCGCAATTTACGTTGTGCGACCTATGTGGCGCCATCTATGCGATGCAATCTATCTGTATATATACACAGATGTGTACACGTCGTGCAATATACGTGGTGCAATCTACGTAGTGCAATTGGTTTTAACAAACGAGTTAACACATCACATGCTCTTGCAAACATCTCACCAACCCACCCGCGACTTGGTTTGCAAAACCCATGCGTTGTCGATTGCGATGCATGCCTGGCGTTGGCTGGTGCATCCCTGCAGGCGCGCCGACCCTGTCACGCGCGCGCAACGACCAACTAGTTAAGCGCCACCGACGCGGCCGCGGTAGCGCTGACTGCTGGGCGCATCCAGGGCACTTCACTGCGAGTCGGCAACTTGGGCGGGCGCGGTATCATGGCAAAGCCGACTACGGTATACACGATGATGATAGTGGCGATGCTGGTGGCGATGTTCGCACCGACGACGGCGCGGTCAGCGCGGGCGCCAATGCTGATCACGCCGACAGCGATGACGGCCTCTTCGCGTCGGTGATGATGGTTTCTTGGACAGAGTTCGACATGCGCGCGCGGCCGACGCGCGAGAATGGCCCGCATGGTTTTTTTTTCTTGAAACGGGAAACGGATCGAGCATCCCCCCCAACACGCGCGCAAGAGCGTGCGAACGATGTCGGCACGCGGCGCCAGGTCCGTTTGGCAGAATTCCATGAAGATGTTGAGACAACTATGGTTTTCTCAAGAATTCAAAGAGCGCGTGCGCAAGCTTTTCTTGAAACTGTTGTTGCAAAATCATGTGCTTTTGAATGTGTGGTGGTGGACATTCGGTTTGAAATCGCTACGAAACATGACAAACATTAGGTTTTTGAAGGATTTCGGCATGTGCGCAACGACGCGCACGCGCGCAAGTCGTCCCATTTACTGCAAAGGGTTCTCGCAACGGCACGCGCGCAAGGGCGTTCGAACGATTTCGGCATGCGCGCGCGCGAAGCCCGCTGGTCGTACTTTCTGGAAATGTTGAAAAAGAACCGATGGTTTTCTCACGAATTCGCTAGAACGCGCGCACGCTTTTTTTGAAACTCAGTGTTGCGAAACAATGCGTTGTATATGTTTTGGTTTTGGTACTCGATTTTGGAAACCTTCCGAAACCGAATATGTTTGAAGGGTGTCGGCATGCGCGCGCGACGACGCGCGCGTGCACTTCGTCACATTCGTTGTGAAGGATTCTTGGACACTTATGATTTTTGATAAACGAGCGTGCCCGCAGGTATTTTTGGCAGAGGGTGGCGGGGGGGTCGAGACGGCTGCGCTGGGATGGTATGAGTTCATATCCGCCGGCCCCCTTCTTGGGCCACCAGGCTGGAGGGCGAAGGTTCGCAGTTTCCTGTGCCAGTCGCAGCTTCCAGTTTCAACTGTTACAGTTCTGCTTCTTGCTGCTTACTGTCTGCTTCTTGCTGCTTACTGTTCCTTGTTGATGGACCGCGCGAGGGGGGGAGGCCTAAAACGAGCATTTCACCACGCCCAAATCGAATGCTCTGAATTGCTGGGGTGGATAAAAATTTACACTCCTCACGCAGATCGGCGGGGTCAGGGTCAAAAAAACACATGGGATTTGCTACATTTCTGAAATTTGCTGGCACCCATCACGCATATCGGCGGGGTCAGGGTGCCAAAACACATGGGATGTGCCACAATTCTGAAATTTGCTGGCACCCCTCACGCAGATCGGCGGGTCAGGGTCCAGAAACACACAGGATTTGCCACATTTCTGAAATTTGCTGGCACCCCTCACGCAGATCGGCGGGGTCAGGGTCCTAAAACACATGGGATTTGCGACATTTCTAAAATTTGCTGGCACCCATCACGCAGATCGGCGGGGTCAGGGTCCAAAAACATGTGGGAATTGCTACATGTCTGAAACTAGCTGGCGCCCGTCACGCAGATCGGCGGGGTCAGGGTCCAAAAACATACAGGATTTGCAACATTTCTGAAATTTGCTGACACCCCTCACGCAGATCGGCGGGGTCAGGGTTCAACAACACAAGGTATTTGCCATATGTTTGAAATTCGGTGGCACCGGTCACTCAGATCGGCGGCGTCAGGGTCTAAAAGCACATGAGATTTGCCACATTTCTGAAATTTGCTGGCACCCCTCACTCAGATCGACGGTGTCAGGGTCTAAAAGCATATGGTATTTGCCACATGTCTAAAATTAGGTGGCACCCCTCACGCAGATCGGCGGGGTCAGGGTGCAAAAACACACAGGATTTGCATCATTTTTGCAATTCGGTGGCACCCCTCACGCAGATCGGCGGGGTCAGGGTGCAAAAACACATGGGATTTGCTACGTTTCTGAAAATTAGCTGGCACCGCTCACGCAGATCGGCCGCATCAGGGCGCAAAAACACACAGGATTTACTACATTTCTGAAATATGCTGGCACCCCTCACGCAAATCGGCGGGGTCAGGGTCCAGAAACACATGGGATTTGCCACATGTCTGAAATTTGCTGGCACCCCTCACGCAGATCGGCAGGGTCAGGGTCCAAAAACACATGGGATTCGCCACATGTCTGAAATTTGCTGGCACCCCTCACGCAGATCCGTAGGGTCAGGGTCGAAAAACAAACAGGTCCCGACACTGCTTCACGGCGGCGCCCAGACCTCATGATTTAGCTTTTGCATCTACCATTATCCAAGACAGGGGGCCAGCGGCATGGGGCGAAGCCCTTACGGATTTAGAATGGACGATGGGGCAACATCATATGTAAACTGCAACACACAAAGATGCACCGATAAAGCCGAGGGGTAGAATATATTTATTCTCTTTCGACAAAAGATAATATATGCGGCGCAATTGAGTTTTACCAATGGGTTGACACATCCCATGCTCTTGCAAACACCCCGCCAACCCACCTGCAACGTAGTTTGCAAAATCCATGCGGTGGCGAATGCGATGCATGCTTGGCGTTGGCTGGTGCATGTCTGCGGCCGCGCCAACCCTTGCACGCACGCGCAGGGGCCAGCTGGTTTGGCGCTGCCGTCGCGGCCGCGGCGGCGCTGACCGTCGGGCGCGTCCCAGCGGGCACTTCGCTGCGAGTCGGCGACGTGGGCGGGACCAGTATCATGGCAACGCCGACGCGATGATGATCGCGGCGATGCTGGCGACGATGTTCGCACCGACGAAGGCGCGGCCAGCGCGGCGATGATGGTTTTGGAAAGAATTCGACATGCGCGCGCGGCCGACGCGCGAGGGTGGCCCGCATAGTTTTGTTTGACGCGGGTCGCGCCCCCCCACCCACCCACCCCCAGCACGCGAGCAAGGGCGCGCGAATGATGTCGGCATGCGGCGCCAGAAGGCCCAATAATTTCACAAAGATGGTGAAACAAATATGGTTTGCTCCAGAATTCGCAAGAACACGCACCATATTTTGCGTGACAGCGGTCGTTGTTTTGATTGATGTTTTTAAACATTCAATTTTGAAATCGCTACGACACGGGAGGTTTCGAAGGCTTCTGGCACGCACGCGCGACGACGCGCGTGCAAAAACGTTCGAATGATTTCGGCGCCGAACGTTTTCCAGATGCCGGTATGCGCGCGCGACGGCGCGCGCGCGTGCACTTCGTCGCATAGTTTGCGACGGGGTTTTGGACATTGATGATATGTTGTCAACGAATGTGCGGGCAAAACTTTGTTGCAAAGGCTGGCGGGGGGGACGATGCCAGCCTGGCTGGGATGGAATTCGCAGTCAGGATGGGCGATGGGGCAGAAACATGCGTACACTACAGCGCAAAAAAATGGATTGATAAAGCCAGGGGGGGACCTACATGTTTTTTTCTGCCCTGGGCCGCGCTTGACAGCCTCTACTGTTCGCGCAATCATCCCGCCCGCCCACCTGCATCTTGGCGGGCGAAGCCCATGCGGTGGCGATTGCGATGAGTGCTCGACGTTGGCTGGTCCATTCCTGTGGCCGCGCCGACCCAGGCGCGCGCGCAGCGGCCAACTAGTTTGGCGCGATCGACGCGGCCGCGGTGGCGCTGGCCCCGGGGTGCATCGCAGCGGGCGCTTCAGTGCGAGTCGGCGACTTGAGCGGGCGCGGTATCGTGGCGACGTCGACAACGGTAGACGCGACGATGATAGCATCGATGCTGGTGACGATGTTGACAACGACGACGGCGCGGCCAGCGCGGGCGCCGGTGCTGATCGCGCCGACGGCGATGACGGCGTCGGCGAGGGAGGTTTTGAAAAGGGTTCGGTATGCGACCGCGGCCGACGCGCGAGACTGGTCCGCGCGGTTTTCGTTGACGCCGATCGCGCCCCCCACCCCCCTCCCAGCGCGCGCGCAAAGGCGCGCGAATGATGCCGGCGTGCGCCGCCAGAGGCCCGCTTGGCAGGCGCCCATGCGTGCCGCTTTGAAAACTGGTGTTGCGAAGCCATATGAATTTGAATGTAGTTTGGACATTCGGTTTTGCCATCGTTGCGAAACCGGAGAACTCTGACGGATTTCGGCACGCGCGCGCGACGTCGCGCGCGCGCACTTCGCCCCAGCTTTGGTATAATATTTTCGCGACGGCGCGCGCAAGGAGGTGTTGGAGCGATATCGACATGCGCGCGCGCGAAGCCCGTCTGGTACCACGCTATGAACATGTTGGGACATGTATGGGTTTCTTGAGAACTTGCCAGAGCGCGCGCGAATGCATTTTTCAACATCCGCATTGCGAAACCATTTGCTTGTAGTTTTCGACGCTCGATTTTGAAATCCTTCCGGAAGTTTTGGAAGGGTGTCGGCATGCGCGCGCGACGACGCGCGCGTCTGCACTCCGTCCCATTTGTTGCAAAGGA